GCACACAGTAATAGCACTGCTTGCTAACTAAAAAATATTAATTATATAAAAACATTAAAATTCAACTTAAAAAACTAAAACTACTAATAAAATTTCTTTATAATAATATCTTGTATAGACAATCATGATAAATAACCAAGATAAAAAACTAATCAAGCAGTTTAAACAATTAGTCTGAAATCTCTTCCTCCAAAAAATCTCTATTCACCAAGATGCTCCTTATGATAAAACCACTAATGATATTCTCAGCAATTTAGATTGTCCTGACTATCTAGTTGAAAAATACAACCTCACCCCAGAACAAATTCAAGAGTGCTATCAAGCACTAGCCGATAATTTAGCCAATAATCCGAATGTTATCCGGCAAGTAGCCGAAATGGTAGCCAGATTAAGAAGTCATTTAGCCGAAGGAATTGGTCGTCCAATAACTAATGAAGAGATAAAACCAGTGACTGAAGCCATTAGCAAACTAACCATCACTTTACTAATTGAAAAGAATATAGAGTGAATAAGAGAGGATTATGAGGAACAAGAATAAACTATCATGCTTACCCCTCAACAAATAAGTCGTTTAAAAGAATTAGGACTAACTCGTAAGAAAATAGCTGACTTTGAAAGGGTAAGTGAAAGAACTGTTTATCGCTGGAATAAACAAAATAAAGTTTATGATTATTGGCACCAAAGACATAGAAGAAAATGAGGACGAAATCAGAAACTAACTGGAGAAACTTTAAAAACTTTTTTGGATTACATTTCTAAAAACAATACCTTAACCCAGCAAGAAATGGCAGACTATGCTTCGCAATTAGTAGGGCAACCAATAACTCGTTACTACAAAAGGAAACCAGAAAAGAATTCTATGAAAGTGGTTAGTGAAGGAGATAAAGAAAAATGAGATTTATTTTTTAAAGTATAATGAGTAAACATTTTAGAACTTATTTTGGTCTAAAATCTGACATTAATTTCACTCATTGTAATATTTGGGCGGCTCGTAAAAAACAAAGAAAAAGGTAAATAACCCTGGTTGTAATTTATTAGTCTTAAAATTAATATATGTCAACTA